ATGATATAATTATCTACGTGGATTTGATGAATAATATTAAATAATTTGTAATTATGTGATAAATAGTATTTTTAGAATAATTATAATAGATTAAAAGAATTTATAATTTTAAAAGAAATTATTTTGGAAAAGGAATTATTTTCTAAATTACGCAGTTGTTGTTCATGATACATTTCTTGTTTTGTAAATATTTTACTGTATTCGACATGTCATGATGTGGTTGTGTGAAATTAGTGTTATTGTTATCTCCTTGTTGTGTTTGAGAACCTTAGTAGTTCACGACTTAGTGGCCTCGTGTGTCATGAACAGACTTAGTGACATGTGTGAGTGCATTGACTGAGTTTAGGTGGTGAACCAGAGTTTTAGTGTGGAATACGACTATTGATTTAGAAAAACGAGAAGAGTTGGGATGGGGAAGTTAATATTCATGTGATCGGATAAGGCTGTTGATGTATCTTCCAGGCTTGTGTTAGACCCTAGAGGGGGGGTGATTAGGGTCTTATGCTAATCTAATCCGATTAAATGCCAATTAAAATTAATTAACAAGTTGTATTCTTGCAAGATAGATATACAAGAGTTATAAGCAAGAATAAGCAATATACACAAAGTGATATATCCTATATGATGAAATATATTATGAGTTATATGCAAGGATATGAAAACTAACACAATGGTAAACAATATGAACTAGATAGTGGATCATATAAATAAAGAGCTAATGGCAATGGCGATATAAGATATGAGCATGAATATAAATGAACGCCAAAGCACACTCAAACACACTATATGATCACGGAGTTCGGACTTTCCGTCCTACGTCTCCGCTCCCCACTCCCGGGGAGAAATCCACTATCACGACCGGGTTTTCTACGCTCACCCGAATAACGTTTACAACCACACAGTGTCGGTTTTCAACGCTCACCGAACAACGTTCACTCCTCACACTCGGTTTCTAGTTCACCGAAAACTTCACAACACACTACGGTTTCTAGCTCACCGAAAACCTAACAACACTCACAATGTAACAAATATAAATTTGTTCTCTACAATAGGTGAGAACTCAATTAAGCACAACTCAATGTTACAATCTCTCACAACCCTAATATACTATGTATGTAAATACAATAAGCTCAAGTGGGTGTATGTAACAATGAGTGAAATCAAAATCAAACTAAACTCAAATATAAAATCTAGCTTAGGAACGACGAACTCTCTGTCGGTTACTGAGCAAATGAACAATTTACCGGTCGACCGGTGCGGTCGACCGAAAACTGATATGAAAACTGTTTATCTGATTTTGAAATGCTGTTTAAAAATATCAAATAAATTCCAAAAAATGTAAAACTTTGGGGAATGATTGTAGACATGATAATAAACATGCTACAATGACTGGTTTCGAAAAAGGACTTCCCAAATAAAAATATCATCATTTTACAAATATGTTCAAAAACATGAAAACCTGAAAATTGATATTTTGATATTTTGACTTAAACAACATTTTGAAACCTTATGAAATGATTGTATAGACTTGATAAAAGATATAATATGTTGTTATGAAGTCTATAACCTAGAAATACAATATTTTCATAAAATTACATATTCTATGCAATATATTCAAAACACTAAATATGATTTCATTAAATATAAGCTTGTTAAAGGTGAAATCATATATAGGTGTATAAACATGAAACAAAATAGTATTTTCCAATTTTATTCATTTGTTTCATATATAAACTCGAAAATTATTAAACCAAAAACATATATGTATATAATAGTATTTTCCAATTTTATTCATTTGTTTCATATATAAACTCGAAAATTATTAAACCAAAAACATATATGTATATATATAACTGTATATATACAAAACCAAAACGAAATGTGTATGTGTGTATATAATTGAGCTTGAAGTATTTAACACACATAATATAAAATCTAAACTAAGTTACCCAAGCTAGATCTTGATCTTCAATAAGCTCTTCTTGGTAATCTCGCGGATGAAGCTAAACTTGGATCTTGAACTTGAATTGTACGATGCTTCACTCCACAATTCCGCCAACCTCCATTTGATATGATCGTGAAAGCTCGATTCCATCCATCCTCCAACAACGTTGTTTGTCTACAATAAATACTAAAACACAAATACTAGACAAACAACATTAGTGGTAAATTGTTTGTTAAACATCATCAAAACAAGAAGGCCAACAGCTTGCACCAGTGGATCGGTGTCGCCACTGGGGTTGGTTTGTTGAGTCACAGTGGATCGGTGTCACCACTGGGGCTGGTTGGTTAGGTCAAAGTAGATCGGTGTCGCTACTTTGGTTCATGAATTTATTTGATTGGATGCACGTAGGGGATATGTGAACAATCAGTTATCTGATGATATGAGCGTTGACTCTGTGAGATGTGAACCAGTTATCTGTTTTAGAATGGCTAGTTACATGACTTCGATTCTTGGCTAAGTATGATTCTTGTGAGATGTAGATCAGTTATATTTCTTTTCATACATAGATCAGGATTAATATTTAATTATTTACAATTTGAGACATATGGTATATACATGAGGGTTTCCTTGTTTGGATTATTTCACTCGACGTACTACGTTTCTTGTTGTAGATTTTTAAGTATTAATTCCATCTAGTTGTATGACCTTGTTACTTGGATGAGTAGTCTGATCGCTAGCTGCATGACCTCGTTACTCGATCGATTTTGGATGCTTTATGTTTATCATGTTTTGGTAGTGAATTTGCATGTTGATTTTGTTGCATGTTTCTTTTGTCATTTCTGTCATCGTATTGTTTTCCGCTTGGTTTTCGTTTGTTCTATTTGTTTGTGGGGTCTTGTCGTGTGCCATGTACGTTGATGTACACCTGTTTTCTCTGGTGTACGTCAAACTTAGAGGAAGAACAGGTTCAGCTTGGAGATGCGTCAGAGGTCGAGTATTCTCAGCAGGAGTGCCTAGTGGATGGAGCAGAAGAAGGAGTCGAAGCATATTCTTTTCATTTATTAGTTGATGGTTCCAGTTTACCTTTGTAGTTCTTTCCATTCCCGCTTGATCGATGTATTTTATATTTCTTCAGTTTCAGTTGTTCAATTTGTATAAGGGCATGTTTGACCCGAATGTTATGTCTCGGATGTTATCCCATTTGTGATATGTATTATTTTATTCTGTGTTGTTCATTATATTCTTGCTAACTATGATCGAGGACATGTGCATTTGCATTGTATTTATTTCCAGACGCTTAGCGTATTAGGTTGAGGAGAAATATTTATTTTTATTTATTCTCCTTGATCTAATACGTCGCGGGCTTGTTTACGTTCCGATTCCCGAGTATTTTGGGAAGCGGGGCGTGACACCTGCTCTGGATACGATTGTCTGTTTGATCCCGACCATCGACAGATTTCTAACATATTTTGTTATTTTCTATGGATTCAAATAATGGCTCATAAATTAATATTTAACACTTTTGTAATAGATGCATGGTTGAAAATAAACAATATTTTTATAAAAATATCTAGGGTTATTTGGCTATATACTTTGTACACCTCTTAATAGCTCCAGGATTTTTACAGTCAAATCTCTCTACTCCTTCATATCTGATGGAGGCGTTCGAAGTCCTCACTGCTCTATAATCTGGAATAACTTACTTCCTAGCAGAGTAGGTTTTTTCTTTGGCTGCTCTCCATGTATAAACTAAAGACCAAAGACAGGCTCCTCAACAGAGGATGAACAGGAGATCCATCATGCTCCTTTTGTAAAGGCCAGGAATCTCACGATCACCTTTTTTTTACTTACCAATTTACCAAACAAGTTTGGGCATTTTCCTCCCTAGAATTGGCATTCTGTTCCTCCCTCTTCTCACCAAACATTGTTTTGATATATGCAATGATGGATCAATTGAGACTTCAGTGCGGCACCTATGGAGATTATGCTTTCCTACCATCTGCTCGATCCTATGCAGAGCTCGCAATAACCTCATTTTCTCAAGTATATCTCTACCCCTCAACAATTGGCCTCCAAGATCACTTACTATTTGCTTTTCTGTACATGTGCAGCGACATCCAAGAAGAACCTCAAGCTAAAAAGTCTCATATGGGAGAGAGGTTTTTCTGATGTCATCGCATCCAGTGAAGACAACAACGGGGACGCATGCATCCATTAGTCAGCTTTAGCCTGCAAATCTTCTCGCCACACTACTATACCATCTTTTGAATAGTATCCTTTATAATTTACATACTTGTTTTTTGGGTTGCTACTTTCTAATCCTTCTTACTTCCTTGTATATAATACTGGGGTATCTACGAGTGATTTCATGTGTATTCCTCTTTTTGTAGAGTGACGACAAAGGTCCGCTCCTCTACAAAAGGGGATTCAGTGCTAATCACAAGTAGATATCATACTGTGAGGTGTTTTGATTTTAATACATTATATATACAAACTATAATAAGCAACTTGCCCTATTCTTACCTTAAAAAAAAGGAAAAAAGGGGAAAAACTTTGTAAACTTCCATAATTACAATTTACTACCCAATGTTCATAATTGCCAATACACACTCCAACTTAATCTTCATAACTTCCAATATGCCCCACAAATCTTCCATAATTGCATATTTATTCCCTCCCCGTAAATCTTCACAATTGCTAATTTACCCCAAATCTTTAATTGGAAAATGAGAAAGACGAATGGGTTGTGATAGTTGGGAAGGAGAGGAGAATTATTTTCATCAACTGACCTGTACACCGTTAATTAAGCAACTCTGCTCAATTTGCAGGTTAGCACAAAGTTGAAGATTTGGAGGGTATATTGGCAACAATGAGGATTTCGAGAGCACATGTAATTATGAAAAATGTGAAGGATATGTAAAACAATTATGAAGATTTAGGGCGTAAATATGTAATTATGGAAGATATTGAGGGGTATGTAGGGCAAATAACCCAAGAAAACCAACAAACCTCCACTCCAACTACTCGATATGAGGAGGAACCCAACCCACAAAAAATGAGCAAACAGCGTGTAGATAAAAAGAGAACCTACATAAATGACACAACGATAAAACAAGGAGAAAAAGAATTCACTAGTGAACGAAAGAGATGGGGATCCCCCAACAAATCCTAAGAACCACACCTCATCCCCAATCCAAAACCCTAGCAACCCTAACTCCTCAAAAAAAATCCCCATTCCCAAATATAACCCCTTTCCATACCTGCTGCGGGAATAAATTAATACCTACAATTCGAAATTCCGACAAAACCCTTGTAATATCCCCTCTAAAGGTCAACCCTTTGCCCACAAATCCATTGACCAATTCTCGATTTGGGTTCTCTGGGCTCTCGCATCCCAGCAGGAGAATAGGAATAGCAATGGCCTCTTCGGGCTCGGTTCAGAAATCAGAGGAGGAGTGGAGGGCTGTTCTATCGCCTGAGCAGTTTCGGATCCTTCGCATGAAGGGAACTGAGTAAAGATCCAATTTTTGTTCATTTTTAAGATAACTGTTATTTATAGTAACCAAGATGTGGATAATATATGGGGGGGGAAATATTAAATTGGATATGGTGAATCATACATAGAATACTTGGAATATTTTCAATGATTTTGACACGTTTTTATTCATGTATCAAGGGAAAAGCAATGCTCAGTTTTACGCAAGTTCTGAAACATTGAATTTGAGATTGTACTATATAGGGGTAAAACATGTTGAAGTCATTTAAGATTTTATGTCGAGATAGTTAATGTATATTGGACCATATTTGATGGTACGAATTCTGAATTCAAAACTCAAAGGTTAAATTTTAGCTCATTGATCTGTGTTGCAGCTGTAGTATGATGGATTGTTGTAAATTTTTGGAAAGATTAATATTTGTAAAACAGAGTTGTCAACATTACTGCCAGAGAAGTTTTTTTAACCATGGTTGTCAAGTTTTATGTACAGTCTAGTTATCAGCAACTAATGAATTCCATTTTATAGAATATTATTTGAAATCAAGATGAATGTACAATCCACGTTTTCTTGCATTTTGTTCCATTCATATATAGATGTAAATTGAAAAAAGATTTAATGCATGGACTGTTGGACTAGAATTCAAAAAACACTGTAGTTTTACTAATAAGATGATAGTAATAATTAAAGGAACGATTTACCGGCCTCAGGGAAAGGATGGTCAACCATTTGCTTAAGATGCATCCGCTGATCTCGTGTGATTAGCCCAGGCGGGATGTTCTAGTGGTATTGTTCCCTTATCTATCGGAACCCAAGTGTGCATGACCATGAAGGGGAGATGGCTCAAAGTAAGCTCACTCAATAATAATGACAATGAAGAAACTTTTGAGGAGGAGGAAAGTAGGCAAAGATAAACCGTATATTTTTTTCTTCTATGTTGTCTCCTATTTGGATCTCTTTTTATTGACTAAAAACTATTTGTCGGGAAAATAATAGATAAGAGAGATTTTAGACTAAAAATGTCCTCACATTCCTAAACGTGATGGAAAAATGTAACCAACCTTAGTTTAAGATTTGGTTTGTTATTTGGTTTTACTCAACAACGCTCCTAAAAACCAAATTTTAAATGAAAAAAAAGAGAATGGGCATAAATCCTATGCATCGTTGTGGGTGGCTTCCAACCTTGAAACTACATATAGTAGCACTTGTTGTTTCCTGAGGAACCTTAGTGAACTAGAGGTCTTGAACTAGGCTCCTTTATCATAAATTAACATAGTATGCATAAAATGCTTACTCTATTGGCCCTGTGGGTTGGTGCATTAATTTATCCATTCACGCTTGGTAACAACTCATAAGAATACATAGGAATAACCTTAACTTTCATAACTGCGGTCACATGGTGATTCTCACGTAGGTGGATCCTCTGGGAATACAAGAGAACGAAAAAAAATCTTATTCAAGGTCTCCTCCCCATTAAGAGTTCTCTGAGTCATCCTAACCAAACTCTCCACAGAGCAACCTGCCTTAGGATGAGAATTTTGGGAGTGCCTAGCTCCAATGTAGAAATTAAGTCCCCCATATCAAGATATGAGTGTTCTAATGGATACATCTGTCCTGCTTGTTTCTACCTTTTGAACTTCCTTAAAGAAATTACCTATCACTGAAGTAGGGTTCCCACCATTGATGCTCTTATGTACGTGGCTTAATCCCATCCCCTTGGCTTAATTTGAACAAAAGTTCTGGTTAGACCTGTTGTCAAATGATCTACCAAATTATGTTTAGATTGTACAAAGTCCAGTATGTCATATTTATTTAAGACTCTCTTTATTGATTTATATCTTATTTTAGGATGTATGTTTAGTTTTCAGTTTGTAGGTTTAGAAATGCAATAACAATCTTACAATAATGTAAGGAATTAGCAAGAACATGTTTCAAAACATGTAGTGTCAAGTGCTATCAATTTAGATTTCGTTGTACTTCTAGCATGAATATGAAGCCTGGCGTAGATTTAACATCCTGAGAATCAATTACTTAATTAGCATGCTCTAGAAAGAATATTTACATATCTTAGAGTCACTATTGTTGTGTAAACTTGAATAACGAGCTAAATTTTTAACTTAAAGTTTGTTAGTTTCCCCCTCATATTTAGGAACACGAACATGATAAATTTTTTAGCCTAAACCTGTCTTATCTGTTATTGTCATAACAACTACTTTATAGTGAACAAAAAGGGATCCAAATGAGACATAATACAGAAGAAAAAAAATCTACATTTATTTTCCCTGCTAACTGTCCTTCCTGTTAGAATTTTCTCCATTATTATTATTGGGGAAGTTTATTCTTGGTCAATTTCCCCTACGTGGTTGCACATCTAGGTTCCGATAGACAGGGGAACAATACTGCTATGGAGCATCATGTGTTAGTTGATTGTACGAGATCGGCGGATGCCTCTTTAGGGTAGTGGTTCACCACCATTTCCTCGAGGCTGATAAATTGTTCCTTTAGTTATTATTATTATTTTGTTCAATAAAACTATAATAATTTTGATTTCTAGTCCAACAAGACCTAGTACCAAAGGCTTTCTCACTAGAAAGGGTTTGTCTGGTTCTTGTGCCCCTCCCTGTTTGAAATTCTCTGTCGTATATGACATGCTAGGAGGCACTCCCAAGTATGGAGACCAAGGAATATGTACTACACATTAAATGTGTTAGGTGGATTAGAGTATATTTGGCTAAGAGTTGTCAAATGACCCTGCCATTGCACGAAATTTCGAAGATGTGGTGCGGGGTGGGTTGTAATTTATATTTTGACATGTCCCCGGAGGTTGAGTGCCCTTTTATGGGCTGAAACCTGAACAAGTGACTTCACGCAGCGGTATCGACCTTTATAAAAATCTTATTTAAATTCGTGGCCAATAGGATTAAAACTTAGGTTGCTCTGATACCATGTCAGGACCTTGCTACTATGCCATAACCTTGAAGTTGCGGTGAGGGCTGAGGGTTATAATCTTATACTCACAAGAGTACAAAGTTTGTTGCTAGATATGAATCTTTATATGTATCAGGTTTCATCTTTTTTTTAAAGGTTCTGGTCATATATGAGTTTTTGTGCATGTTTGTATCTCTTGATCATGGAAAATGTTTCATTATTTTCTTTTTAATGAGAAGTGAGCCATGAGGAGTAGCTCAGAGCTCACACTTCTCTTTAAAGTAATGTATTGGACATTTGACCCCACATAACATCCTAGCGTAAAAAATCTCATCAATATAGTACTTAACAATGTATTGTCTGATCGAAGTTATGCTGAAGCAAATCATAATCTGTCAACTTACTTTTAAATTGATAAATGTGCATTGCTACTCAACTATGATGCTGATTACAGAGTCATGTTATGAGAGTCTTATTAGAACTTTATTGCTTATGTTATTAGAAAGGACAAATTTTTAAAAGGACCATTTTTTCAATTTTATATAGAAAAACCGAACTCATGAGAAAATAATTTGCAAAACCGACCATTTTCTTCGGAAAAGGGTCGGTTTTACAGTTGCAATGTTTTTCGAGCTACACGGGACTGCTAGTCCCATGTAGTTCGACCAACAATTGAAATGCACGGGACTAGCAGTCCCGTGATTCTTCCTTCGGATAGTCTCTGCTTAAAACTCGGGTAAAAAGAATGAAATACACGAGACTGCTAGCCCCGTGCATTTCAATTGTTGACCGAACCACACGGGACTAGCAGTCCCGTGTAGCTTGAAAAACTTCGCGACTGCAAAACTGACCCTTTTCCAAAGAAAAGGGTTGGTTTTGCAGATTATTTTTTCATGAGGTCGTTTTTGCTATATAAAATTAAAAAAATGGTCCTTTTAAAAATTTGTCCTATTAGCAATTCAAGAAGCATGTCATATCTGGCAAATATTGATTCATGTGTGTGACCGAATTAGTTTGTATCATCTAGCCATACTTGAGCAGATCAAATTTGTGATTAATTCATTACTATGCCTATGTGCTTATGGTTTTACATGATCTTCGTTTAGAATGAGTGAACAATTGCATCATTCTCACTTCCATCAAGGAATACAATCTTTGTTTTGGGGATGAATCGGTTTCATATTTGAACTTGAAATCATATTCATTTAAAAAAGGAGGAATCAATTTCTCAGCAATTTCACAGTTTTAACACCTGTATGATTTTCTTGCATTATCTTTACAATGGCATGACTACATTGCTCAGGTATCCTGGAACTGGTGAGTATGACAAGTTCTATGAGGAAGGTATCTATGAGTGTGCTGGTTGTGGAACTCCACTATATAAATCTACTACAAAGTTCAACTCTGGATGTGGATGGCCAGCTTTCTTTGAGGGACTTCCTGGTGCCATAAATCGCACTGTGAGCTTCCCAATTTTCCATTCATTTCCCACCCCTACTTGTTTTATTTTCCTTCAATTTCTTGAAACTCTACAAAAAGTTTAATAAAGTTAATTCATACTTATTTTTTTTTTCCAGGCGGATCCTGATGGAATGAGAGTAGAGATTACATGTGCAGCTTGTGGTGGGCACTTAGGTCACGTGTTTAAAGGCGAAGGATTCAGAACACCCACCAACGAGCGTCATTGTGTTAATAGCATCTCACTGAAGTTTACTCCAGCCTCTTAAAGCCCCCTTGGCAATCAAGTATGTACCTCATGTGATTTTCTCATATATTAATTGGATGCATGAATAAAGAGGCATCATCTTGTTTTACGATGTAATTTGTTGTCAGCGGAATATGTATTTTCACTGTGTCTCTTACTTTGGATGCTAAGATAAACATTGGTTACAAAGTAGGCGGTCCAATACATGTGTTGCTTGCATTTCATTCCTCCATGGTGAATATTTTTTTTTATTGTCCTTCTGATTGCTCCTGATGCCGAAGGGTTGGTGGTAAATTGCAAAGTAAAAGCATGGATTTATACTGCCGTTTCCTGTTCTTCTCCTCGTATAAATAATTTCTGAATTGTAAACAGCACCAACATCATGTCTGAGTTAATAAATCCCTAGATCTATAGTATGTTTGACAATGAAAGAAAAGTTCATGCCCCTGCCACTATGCTATAGAAGCCTCAGGATATTTGAAAGTCATTGAAGGTGGAGTTACTGATTTCAGTGAAGAGGGTTGTCACTGAACCTGAAAAGATTCTTGTAACTCAGCAAGGTATCAGCATTAAGGCGGCGATTTGTTTGAAAATTCAGTACAAGGTTCATAACTCAATTCGGAAATCCTCTGAATTTGATGTCTCCGTTGTGGAAATTTGTCGTTCAGATTTTGAAGCTGATAAATCAAGCAAGTCAATCTTTTTCGATGAGAGCCTGACCAAAATGATAGACTAGCATGATCAAGGAACAGTCAGAACAAAAAAAAAAAAAAAACCAATATCAAGTTGCAAAATAACTCCTGTACATTTTCACTAGAAAGCAATTCGAAACCATATGCACACAAAAAATAAGTTGATCATGGAAGAATTTTCTAAACACTCGGTCGAATCTACGGCTTGATTCAGGATAAGATAAAAAGGCTGGCCAGCGTGATTGCAACTTATGTGCGTGTAAAATTGCCAAGTGGGCAATTGTTCTTTTGGCAGAGTATATTCCGTTCTGAGCCCACCCTCCACTCTCTTTCGAGTCCCTCTCTTTCCTGTGATCCGCTCCACAAAAAAAGTTCGAGATTCACAGGAGCCAAACGAATTGATGATAATTTGATGTTAGACTTTCAATATTACCATTGCACCCTTCGACAGAACAAAGTTCGGCGGGAACAAGCTCCACGTACTCGTTCTCATGGAGAGGGTATATAAGTAAAACTACACTTCCAAACTTCTGGTGGGATCATTTCAATATTTCGTTATGTTTTTTTTATCAACAAGTTCTAAGGCTCTCCAGAATTAAACTCGCGCGTGTTCTTGTCTGAGGTATTTACTGTACACGATCTTAAGATTCAATAGAAGTTTGATGTTTTTTTTTCCATTCCTTTATTAATTTTGATTTGATCGGTTTGAATTAGAGAATTTGAGCTAGATATATATACGTACGACACAATGGCGCCTTTGGCAATGAAGAGTGCATGCCTGAGGTCTACTGCTCCTGATGCACAATTGAGGAGGCTTTTATCTAAAGAGAGGAATTATTTTGATGAGTTTGGTTTAGTAAGGAGCAGGAGAAGTTTGGACAGCAGCAGCAATAAGGCTAATATTCAAGCTAAGTACCCAAGCGTAGATGCTGAACATAGAAGCAAGAGATGCCATCCACTTGAAGCAGTTGCCACGCCCATTCCTGCAACGAAGAAGGTAATCTGATCATCATAAAATTCCACTCCCAGATGTGAAAATGTATATATTTCCTTTTGAATTTGGTGTCTTTTCTTTCTGGTGGTAAATTATGACAAATTAGACTTCAAGGCTGGATGTGTCCAGATAGAGAAACAACATGAATATGTTAATCTAATCATTTATATCCTCTAAATAACTAGTTTTATTAGAGTACGATTCCTGTCAGAACAGTCTGCATCCGTTGGGCGGTTCTAACCTTTTCTCGATGAAATAAATAAGGAGGCAAAACGAGAATTTTATTCCTCAAATATTGTTTGGCTGATCAGAACTGTCCAGTCGCATGCGGACGGGCAGTTCTGATAGGATGGGTAGCGAGTTTATTAGTTGTTACACCTCCTGAACCTTGATTTTACTTTTCTGTCCTCGGTGTAGAGGGTGAGTGAGTCATTTTAGTTAGTTAAGTTGAAAGCAAAATTTACCAGTAGAGGGTGTGTGTGTGTGTGTGTTGGGGGGGTAGACTACGCTCGATCCGTCACAAGTATGGCGAGCAATTATGTATATATGCCATATGCAACTTCAGCCCAACAGACCCCTCGTCCTGCTGATCTCAATTCATACATCAGTTTGCAACTTGGCTTACGTACAGCACCACCTACCTAGCCAGTCACCAGTCTTAAAGCACACGTGTCACGCTCATCCCCAGCCAGGTGTCCAAATCGGGCAGCCTCGGGATCGACAGCCTCATGTTTATCCACCACCTTTGCGCTCCTATACATAACAACTACAATGTCACGATGTATTTAAAAGCTCAAAACAGTTTTCTTTGCTTTCTGTGCTACTCGCGATATTCATGGCTCCCTCTACCTCTAATCGCCATGGTCCACAGAGAGTCTTCACCTTCGGCAAAGGGAAGAGCGAAGGGAACAAAAGCATGAAATCGCTAGTAAGTTCGCATTTGTAAGGTACTTATCGTCATTCGTCAAATATATTGGTTCTGATACATGCGTACGTGTGCATGTATATGCGTACGTATTTTTTTATAGTTAGGCGGAAAAGGGGCGAATTTGGCGGAGATGGCGAGTATCGGGCTCTCGGTTCCGCCGGGCTTTACGATATCCACAGAGGCCTGCCAAGAGTACCAAGAGAGCGGCCACAAGCTGCCTAATGGGCTTTGGGAGGAGATTCTTGAAGGCCTTCAAGCTGTAGAGGAGGACATGGGGGCCTGTTTAGGTGACCCTCAGAAGCCTTTGTTGTTGTCCGTTCGATCTGGCGCCGCGGTAATATTTTGAATTTTGACCATTCAATAATTAAGTCTCTTTTTTTTTGATTAATTTTGGCTAATTTGATTTAGATATCCATGCCGGGGATGATGGATACGGTGCTGAACTTGGGGTTGAACGATGAGGTGGTGGCGGGGCTGGCGGAGAAGAGCGGTAATTTGATTTAGATATCCATGCCGGGGATGATGGATACGGTGCTGAACTTGGGGTTGAACGAGCGGAGAGCGGTTTGCATATGATTCGTATAGGCGATTTCTCGATATGTTTGGGGATGTGGTGAGATTTTTGTTCACTGTTTTCTTATATGATTGTAGTCTAACCCTGCGTATCAAGTTTAAATAGCTCACGCTTAAATTTATGCTAAAAAAACAATCATAATAATTCTCAGAGTAATGTGCGGGACATGGCATTAGTCAAGTAGCAAGAGGCGCAAAATGAGAGAACATATCAAAATTTGAACTCCCATTCGGACACTAACTGCTCGAAATAGCTCATATGCATGATATAAACATCTCTTACTAATTAATTTAATTTAATTTTTTGTTGCTGAGGAACATCTCTTACTATTTTTTTGTGTGAATGCTATTTAGACCAAAAGTCAAAAGGCAGTTAAATGGGCTAAAAAGAGTCGTATTTTTAATAGGTAGAAGGAAATCATGTCGCTCATGAAAGGTATATGGAAATCATTTATTTATATAAAAATAGATTTTATTATATTTTTAACCCCTCAAATTATAAAACTTGCTAAACAATCATCTACACGAAAAGATTAGTCAGTCAGCAGTGGATTATGTATTCTGATATAAGTTTTGGACGCATAAGGCTTGAGCCTTCCATGGGCCTTAGATATCACTGTGTGGTGCTATGGTCCAAAAAGACTTCGTAAGCCCGCTAGTGAAATTCTTTGAAACATGATAAAAAAGAAATTCTTTGAAACATGATACATTTTTGAAAGAGTAAACAGAAACTAGTGTGCCCATTCACCTATTTGTGCCGCTGAACTGACATAAGCTCAGACCCCTACAACTCAGATCATCAATCTATCCTAAGTAGGTGATGTGTGATACTAGCGACACAGCATTTAAATACGTTATCTTTATTTTAAAGTTGGTGTTGGCTATAACACCGATGTGATAATATAGTTGTACAGATATTTTAATTGTTTGCAATTATATTCACCAGTCACACAGACTTCATATATAAATTATATTGATTTAAATATATAGATTATATTGATTTAAAATTGGTATCAACACAGGAATTATAATCATATAGTCTTACGAGCCTTTTCAATAGAAATCTAAATTTGAATTGATTTCATAAAAAAAATAACTTAGATTGAAAACTCAAATTCAGGCATGTTTTTACATACGCACCCTTTCAAAATATAAGATCTGGAGGATTGAAATTTCTCTGTAGGTAAGGATTAAAAAAAGGGTAAATTACACTAAACCTTCAAAGATCTTTTACTATTTCACCGTAAACCCGCAATAACTTTCGAAGTGGCACTAAACTCCCGACAGCTTTGCATTTTGCAAAAAAGTCCTAATAAGTTTTTGCATTTTTACAAAAAAACCCCATAAATTAGAAAGAAAAACAACATAAAAAGGCATTTAGAAAGTTAATGGGGTTTTAGTATAATGTGCCCAAAAGCTATTGGGGACTGCAAAAAGTTAGTGGGGGTTTAGTGCGATTTTGAAAGTTATGGGAGGTTTACTACAGTACTGTGAAAGTTCTTGGGGGCTTGTGTTATTTACCATAAAAAGAAATAACATTTTCCTCCCCAAAAAGGAAAAGAATAAAAAAGAAATAAAAGAAAAGGTCTTATTGATATTTGTTTATTCATTGGGGTTTAAAAGGTAATGGGAATTCCCCATTCCAAATTCGAAGAGAAGCTCGGAGCCCTGAAAGCAGCAAAGGGAGTGAGCCAGGATACAGCTCTAACTGCCTTCGATCTCAAAGAGTTAGTTGTAGAATACAAAAATGTTTACTTGGAGACCAAAGGCGAGCAATTCCCTTCAGGTATAATTCTTTTTTTTAGGGGTTTCCGTTAATTTTTCTGGAACAAATTCTCCCTGTTCTTTAAGGAGAACAATACCCATTATAAATATTATTCGTTTGTTCAGTTTTTCAGGACATTGCATCTGGGTTTCTTGGAATTTAACATTTGAAGCTAATTTAATTATTTATATTTGAACTTTTTTGTAGGTCTAATATATACTCTGGATTCCTGTTACATATTGCTTGGAAAAAGAAACCCATTTCAAATATATCTTGATTTTTCTATTTTTAGTTTGATATACTGGAATCAAGGAAATGATATAACTTTGGAATGTTCATACTCGAGAAGTAATTCGTAGGAATCTTTGTAGAAGAACAACCTGTTGATTGATTTGGCTAATAATTGGTGACACTTGGGATGGGAAAATTTTCATCCAATTAATCATTGGAGCAGGAGATTTTTTGAAGTGGTCAAAATGAATACTATCTTTTTCTGCACTCTTAAAGAGCTTTTGCAAAAGTACTTGTATTCTTTTATACATATAACAGTTAGGGCTTTGTGCATTTAGGTGGTTATATATTTTGCTTTGTGGTTAGCACATTATCTTCGTACATAAGCCGAAAATAGTAAAATTTTCCTTGCAGCATAGTTGCTTAACTCTAGGAATGACGAATCGTTCTCAACTCTCTAGCCAAAAGAGACATTTGATGATGGAAGCATGTTGTTTGTCATTAATCAGTCAATTGATCTATATATCACAACTTGTTATTTCTTCATTATATTCTTTTGGAAAAATCTTTTGCTTTGGATTATCTCTGTGAGAAAAGACGGGAACCTGATATTTGTGATAATACTAAAAAATGACTAATTTTTATAGTGATGGGAGTACATAGGGCATAGGGATGGCGAGGTAATTAAATTAGATATTTGACTAAGACCTTCTACTTCGTGCTACTGTAGGTGAACCACAACTCCACTAGACATGGCATGCTCTTCCTAGTATCTTCTTCAGTCTCACTCTTAGAGTCATAAAACAAGGTCATTGCACTTTCAAAATGAGGCACAAGTTGCAAATAGTCCTGCTATTCTTTTTCTTTGCATTATGTTGCAATAACCCTACTATCATTCCTTGTTATGACACACTTTTTCGTGGGAAACTGTTAATTAACAAAATGTTAGTTATATGACAAGCCAGATCTTGATTTTGAGAAACTTCAGTGTAATTATATGACATACCGGAACTTGACTATGAGAAATTTATGGTTTGGGTTAACACATTGATGTTTTCTCTGTTGTCAGATTTATGGTATGGGATAACACATTGATGTTTTGTCTGTTGTCAGACCCAAAGAAGCAGCTCTACTTGGCGGTTCTAGCTGTGTTTAATTCATGGGACAGTCCGAGAGCTGTCAAGTACAGAAGCATCAATCAGATTACAGGGCTGAAGGGTACTGCAGTGAATATCCAATGCATGGTGTTCGGAAACATGGGGGAAACCTCAGGAACTGGTGTGCTTTTTACAAGGAATCCAAGTACTGGCGAAAAAAAGTTGTATGGGGAGTTTCTTATTAATGCTCAGGTATGATGCTTTACTCTTTGGACTATGAAGAAAATACGTAAATTTCATTACTTTCTAGTTTGTTATTTGTTGTTTTTTTGGGTGCCAGTGTTCCGTCAAGGAAAGGCATGAAACAATTAGAATTTTGAAGATTCCAACTTTTATTAATACAAGTTTGTGCTATATTTTGCATGTTTTTCTAGAGTTGTACAGTTTTATGATACTCTCAGGAAATTTGAGAACAGGTGGGTTCATACTAAGCACACTTCTGCTAAGAGCATCTTATAAATTATCAATCTTATAATTCTTTCTGATGATATGCTGTATGATAATAACCACACTTCTGGTTATTGTTCTTTTGCTGCAGCAAGTAATAGCATAGTGCTTGCATCTAGGTGACAGTGCTCCTTATTTACAAGGATTACTGAATCATAGTATTATTGAGGCGGTTGTTGACTTAAGCTTATTTTTTGTTAATTCTTTGATTTTAATTATATCCTCCTTTTTTCTTGAATGCATTTCTAATAATGTGTTGTTCTTCATTCATTCTACTTAATGCAAGTGGTCATTTTGCAGGGAGAAGATGTAGTTGCAGGAATTAGGACGCCACAGGATCTGGATGCAATGAAACAGTCCATGCCAGAAGCCTATAAAGAGCTTGTCGAAAATTGTAGCATTCTAGAGAGTCATTATAAAGATATGATGGTTCGACTTTATTTTATTTTATTCTATTTCTTCTTCATTGATTTGTAGTTATCTTTTGAATGTATACAATAGGTAAAACACTGAAAGCAATATTCTTTACATCTAAATATTCACATTCTTCTTAATTATATTAGGCAAGATGTTTCATCTGGCTACGTTGAGTCACAAGATAAGATTATATTCTTCCATGGTCACAGGATATAGAATTTACCGTCCAAGAAAGCAGGCTTTGGATGCTGCAGTGCAGAGCAGGAAAGCGCACCGGCAAAGGAGCTATAAAGATTGCTGTAGATATGGTCAATGAAGGTCTTATAAATATCAATTCTGCTATTAAGATGGTCGAGCCTGGTCACTTGGATCAGCTTCTCCACCCTCAGGTATACAAACTAAAGGAACAATGGTAGAATTAAGATACTTGACCAAGAACGTCTTCGGGGAAAACCCCTTAATAGTAATGGCCATTTGCTTTTTTAGTCATTCGCACATTGTGTAAGTAAATGGCAAAGTATTACTGAAACATGGGATTTGTATGGGTGAAAATCTTAGAGAATAATGTATTCTGCAAAACCGAGAAATCTTAGAGAATAGTTTTGTTTAATTATTGAGGTATTTATTTTTTTAATAGAAGCTTAAATTTAATACCGAATTTGAGGAATAATATCTATTCTAAACTTTGCATCGATTTAGCTCATCTTTTTTTTATTTTATTTTTTGTTCAATTTTAGTTTGAGAATCCATCTGCATACAAGGAAAAAGTGGTTGCTACTGGATTGCCTGCATCACCAGGAGCTGCAGTTGGTCAAATAGTATTTAGTGCTGAGGATGCTGAAGCATGGCATGCACAAGGGAAAGTTGTTATTTTGGTAATCACCGTTCTCATCGCAACCATGGAAATTTTAAAACAGCTATCTTTTACAGTAGTTTTTTTATGTGATTCATGCACTCCTTTGTGGGATATTTTCTTTTTTCTTCCATGTGTTCTTAGTAGAACTTTCAGATGTGAAGTACTTACGAATTTTGTGTTGGAAAGGTAGCTTTTGATATAACATCTTTTAATTAATATTGATGAGAAAAGTTATCATTTCACTTTGTACACTTACCTAGTTAGGATCTATTATCTGCCATAAGTTCAGATGTGATTTTAAATAATTTTGTAGTTCATGCTCAGTTTTTCTCTCTGCATTTTTGATCTCTCAATGTTTGTTTCTTTCAAAATTTCTTTTCTCAAATGAAGTGAATTATATCCTAAATCTTCATGTCAACCAAAGACTTAGATACTATGTTTTTGCTTCCCATAGACAACATCAGTAAGAGGTCCAATAAAAGCACTGCAGGCTTCGTCTATGTAAAGTTGGCCACATAAGATGCCACTTAAATTATATAAACATTTGTCCTGCTTAAAGGCATCATTTATTTTTCCAGGATTTAGAAGGCCAAGTAGGCAGATTAGCTTAAGTATTCGATACCATATTTGAACATTATAGAAGTACTTGTCTATGCGATAATTTGGATTCTAATTATGCCAATTATTTTTCATATCTGGATAGGACATTCTTACTGGAACCAATTAACGTACTAACCAAGTGGAAAGCTGATCAATAAGTGTTAGGGTTAGTAATATCTAGACTAGAAACACACATATGGAAACATCTTTCATGGCTAGTTCAGGCCCCATTTATAGATTGGCTCAATCTAATGGAATTCAGTCCGTCTTTACTCCAGTGTTGATGCAAATTATTTTGCTACTTTTCCGGTTAACTTTTATTACAGTTCCTAGACTTTTTTTAATTGAACAATGAGCATATATGCTTTTTGAACAGTAAATAAATATATCAGTTTCATGCAATGAATGCTAATCATGAACTGACTCCTGAAAATCTAGGATGAACATTTTCTTTGGAGTATACTGGATTAAAAGTTACTCTTTAAACTCATTGTCCAATTTTATTATTTCATAAAGGAATTGATCCCTTATTGGCATGTTTGAAGGTAAGGACTGAGACTAGCCCTGAGGATGTTGGCGGCATGCACGCAGCAACAGGAATTCTTACTGCAAGAGGTGGCATGACCTCTCATGCAGCTGTTGTAGCACGTGGTTGGGGAAAATGTTGCGTCTCTGGATGCTCAGAAATTAGGGTCAATGATGCAGACAAGGTGAATATTTATGTTTTTTTTTGGTTTATTAATGGGTTAATTGCGGATAGACCCCTGTACTACTAATGTTGTGGATAGATCTCCTGTACTATTGCCCAACTGCGGATAGACCATCTGAGTGAATTTTTTTGACTCTTTTACCTTCAGGAGGTTTAATTGTCAAAAACAGAACTCTCTTAATCTTAGGGTATAAGAGCAAAAAAAAAAATTACGCATGGGGTCTATCTGCAATTGGGCAATAGTACGGGGGGTCTATTCGCAATTAACCCTTGTTAATCACAGTGATGTTTTGCATTATCTTGAAGTACTTTCTTTTTCCAATTATGTTAAATGTAAGAGCACGCCATATGTGCCATATAGGTAGTTGTAATTGGTGACAAAGTAATACATGAAGGTGATTGGTTATCATTGAATGGATCAACTGGAGAAGTAATCATGGGAAAGCAACCTCTCTCTCCGCCGGCACTTAGTGGTGACATGGGAATCTTCATGGCTTGGGTTGATGAAATAAGAAAACTTAAGGTATTCTCTGCAGAAAGAATCCTCATAAATGAAGTAGTCACGGTACTTAAATGCTGAATATATTAAGATAAACTAATCCTCATGGTGAAGTAAATTCTGATGATAGGTCATGGCAAATGCTGATACACCAGCAGATGCAGCGACAGCAAGAAATAATGGAGCAGAAGGGATTGGGCTTTGTAGGACAGAACATATGGTGAGAAAAAACCGCTATTATAGGTTGAAATTATTTTAGTGAAATATTATATACGATTAATTCAGAAGACAATGAAGATTACTATGAATAAGGCTAATGAATGTCATTATTACCTAGAGAACATGTTGATTTTATAGGTTATTTTGAATTGGCTCTCATAGTAGCACCATGTTTTTTTCTTCTCATTTACAAGACCATCTATTCCATACAGTTATAGAAGTTATCAACAATTTATTAATTTTTTTACTAATCTTTTGAACTGGAGGTGATCGTTCTTTATTTTGTGTTTTACATTTTTGTCTCAGTTCTTTGCTTCTGATGAAAGAATAAAGGCAGTGAGGCAGATGATAATGGCTGTGACTACTGAACAGAGGGAAAAAGCATTAAAGCTCCTCTTGCCCTACCAGAGATCTGATTTTGAAGGCATTTTCCGTGCTATGGATGGTATCTCTCAATGCTGCCTTAAATTAAATACTGAATGAAATAGCTCTCTTCTTTGCACTCTTTTAAAGTTTATTTGAATCTGGTGATTGATATTATTTTCTAGCAGTTGCGATATTTATTGATTTACACACTAAAAGATAAAGTTATAGAGTGTTTCTCTCTGTCCACTTCAACTTGAATGAGGCTACAGCGCTATTGCTTATAATTTAATAGACTCTATTTACCTGTACAGAAAAATCTTCTGAAATAGCAATATTAGTATTTTCGTCTTCTAACCTTTCCTCTTATCTTTTCCATACTGTACTTATTCTGCTTCTCCTCCTCCTTCCTCTTCATGTGTATTTTGTATCTTTTTTCTAGTTAATAAATTCCTTAGGCATCTTGAGTCCTTGACCCAATTTCTCAAAAAAATAAAAAATAAAAACATAATAATCATAATCATCTGAAAACTGAAACCAAATCATCATCATCATAATAATAATAATCATAATCATCTGAAAACTGAAACCAAATCCCTGTTGTGATAGGGAGTTGCACATCGACTTGTTATCATAATACATGTGGCAATATGTTGTGATTGTGAGAAATGTATTCCCCTACTTTCATCTATGTACATGTGCAACTATGAGTAGTAGATTGTGATTTTTGAGGTATTATTCCTTGTTTCTGAAACTTCTAGCGTCTTAATCTAAATTATGTTTCTTTCAGGTCTCCCTGTAACAATTCGGTTATTAGACCCACCACTTCATGAGTTTTTGCCCGAAGGTAACATTGAGGACATTGTGGCGGAACTTGTTCTGGACACTGGCATGACAGAGGATGAGGTGTTTTCAAGAATTGAGAAGCTTTCTGAAGTAAATCCAATGCTTGGTTTCCGTGGCTGCAGGTTAAATTTTAAAATGTGTTGTTTGCAATAAGGTTAATCTTATTTCTTGTGAGACCTTCGTTGCATACAGATCTCAATTTTTCCTGGGATTCTCTCAAATCCAAGACAATTGATAAATCCAGATTCAGCGAAGATACTTTTGAAATTGAGCTTTTCATCCAATATGAATTGGACAGGGCAACTTCTTATTGTTACAAGCAGATATCATATTTTGTTTTGGTCAAATAATTCATAGAAAACATGTGTTACCAAAATAAGTTTTTTTTCCTTAGTAATATGTACGGTACTCTGTATTTTCAGGCTAGGCATTTCATATCCAGAACTAACTGAAATGCAAGTACGAGCAATCTTTGAAGCTGCTATTTCTATGAGTAACCAGGGAGTCAGAGTCTTTCCAGAGATAATGGTCCCACTTGTTGGGACACTTCAGGCATGCTTTCAATCCTTTTTATTGATTATTCTTCATAGTGTCAAATAGTTTTAATTAAAGAATTTTGTTGCTCTTCATCTAGTTATTATATATGTTCAGCGGCTGCATTTTCAATATCACTGCGACTAATTTACCATTGCATAGATAACACATAAATAAAAACAGGAGGATAACTTATCACCTTGTGCATTCAAAGAGAGTACTAGATATTGTACTTCTTGACCTGAAGCATAAGTAGCTGCATGAATATAAAAGAGGGGTCTCTCAATGAGAGAAACTAACCCTAATCTTTCTACATGGTATCAGAGCTAGCCGCCGCTGCTCTCCTCCTTTTTTAACTCGTTCACCCCTTGTCTCCTCCTCAAAAATCTCCTCCGCTCAACAAGGACAGGGGGAGGAGGAACACGAAAAGGACTGCTTTTGACGGTGCTCAGGCCGCCGCCGCTGGGCAGATGAAGCATCGGAGGGGACGAGAGGATCCACAGCGTCGCCATCTCTCCGGCGAACTTCAAAATATCTCTCTCTCTCTCTCTTTCTCGGCGAGCGGTAGAGATAAAATGGTCAGAATCGGCGACTCACCTCCTCCGTGAAGACCTGGAGCTCCGCAACAAGCAGGCGAGGCACGCTGAGTGCGCACGTGCTTCCACCTCATCGAGCCGGCACATCGAGCGCTAGTGACGGAGACGCGGGTGACTAAGACATTGCCGGAGATGGCGGCGCCATCGTAGGTGGGGCGGCTGTAGGAGGATCTCGAGGGGTCGTCGGAGGAGGGGACGGCGGATTCGGGTTGAGATTCGGATTTGTGATCAGTGTTAGGGTTTTGTTTTGGGAGGAAAGAGAAGAAGAAAAAAGGGAAATAAAGGGGATCTGTAACCTTTTTTTATGTTTTCTTTTATTCAGATTGGCGAAGCAGGGCCTGTTCTTGACATGATGGCTGTGATGCTGGAAAATATCTCCACTAATGTTTGTGCTGATTAAAAAAAAGGGATCTGTAATACGTATTAGATGTCCCTTTTTTTTCTTTATTTCTCGAATTGTAATAGCTTGTTTAGGTTCCCTCGACAAGTCAGTCCTAGAACTGATGAGAGGAAGAGCTGATATCTCACTTGGTTGAGATATCCTGCTTCTGGTTCTTATTTCCTTGGTAAAACAGGAATTCTTGTTGATCTATCTTTCTTGTGGTACTGTTGAAGTACTGCCGAAATTTTTACTGCACACAAAAATTATAAGTTGGATCGATGACAGAGACTGACAAAAATCTGATGGAAGGGATCATCAAGAAGTTGAATCCTGAGGAGATCTCAACACTGATGCAACTGATGAAGTTGTCGACGAGAGAGAGCTCGACAAAGCCACAACCCAAAAAGGTGGAGCTTCCACCAATCGATGTAAAACTTGATGGACCCGCAACATATCTGAGTTGGTCGCGCCGCGTAAAATATACCCTTACTGGGAGGAACCTAGAGGGATATCTGACAGGGGAGAAGACTGAGCCGGCTGAGGACTCAGCAGGGAGGGATGAGTGGAAGTTCACTCATATGTTGGTGTATATCTGGGTTCTGAATTCTGTAGTCTAGTCAATTGCTGTCACAGTGGATGACCTTGGGAGAGTGCATGATGTCTGGGAGAAGCTGAGGAGGACCTATGATGGGATGAGAAATAACTTGAGGGTATTCCAGATCGAGAAAGAGATCAACGCTACAGTTCAGGGAGAGAGGACTGTATAAGAGTATGCCACAGAGCTGGAGCGTTTGTGGCTCGATCACGATCAATTCTTTCCCCTGGCAAGCTGCAAGGACCCGGGGTGCAAGGAACGCGAGGCCTCTCTGCAGAATAGGACTATGTTGTTTCTTCGAGGCTTGGCTCCAGCGTATGAGCAGAGAACGGCGTTGCTACTAACCCAGACGAAGATCCCATCACTGGAGGAGGCAGTCTCGGCCATGATACAGGAGGAAAGCCGTATCAGGCTACAGGCTGGGACAGGTGGACTTACAGGGGAGAAGTCTGCACTGGTGGTATCCAATCCGGATAACACTGGATTCAAAGGGGAGACTAGGCAGTACTTTAACTGCGGAGAGGTAGGGCATCTGAGACAGATGTGCCCTAAGCCACCCAGAGAAAGGAACTGGGGTGAACGTGGTCAGACTGGTGGCCGTGCAGGTCGAGGAGGCAGGGGGCGTGTAGGCCAAGGAGTTGCTCACCTAGCTGCGGCAGATGAGTCTCAGACTACTGCTGGGATGACTGAAGCTGAAATAACAGAGCTGGAAGAACTACGTCTGTTCAAGCTTCAGGCTGAGAGTTCGAAGGGCAAGGGACAAGTCACCCAGGATCTGGCTACCACTACATGCTTTGGTAACTTTATTGGTTATGCTCATGCGAACAAAGGTACACAGGTTCAGGCACTTGCATCCACTAAAACTCATGTTGATTGGATCATAGACTCAGGTGCATCTAGGCATGTCACAGGAAGGGACAGGTGGACTTACAGGGGAGAAGTCTGCACTGGTGGTATCCAACCCGGATAACACTGGATTCAAAGGGGAGACTAGGCAGTGCTTTAACTGCGGAGAGGTAGGGCATCTGAGACAGATGTGCCCTAAGCCACCCAGAGAAAGGAACTGGGGTGAACGTGGTCAGACTGGTGGCCGTGCAGGTCAAGGAGGCAGGGGGCGTGTAGGCCAAGGAGTTGCTCACCTAGCTGCGGCAGATGAGTCTCAGACTACTGCTGGGATGACTGAAGCTGAAATAACAGAGCTGGAAGAACTACGTCTGTTCAAGCTTCAGGCTGAGAGTTCGAAGGGCAAGGGACAAGTCACCCAGGATCTGGCTACCACTACAGATGCTTTGGTAACTTTCAAAGGTACACAGGTTCAGGCACTTGCATTCACTAAAACTCATGTTGATTGGATCATAGACTCAGGTGCATCTAGGCATGTCACAGGAACATCTAGTGAGTTTGCATTATATTATCCGAATAAGCATATGCATCCTGAGACAGTTCAGACTGCTGATGGGACATCCCAACCCATCAGGGGTACTGGCTCGGTCCATTGCACTTCATCTGTTACCTTGTCATCAGTATTGCATGTTCCTTCGTTCCCAGTTTACTTACTCTCAGTTAGCTCTCTCATTGATCAATTAAATTGTACCGTGTTATTTGATCGAGATTTGTGTGTCTTTCAAGAGAAGAAAACGGGGAGAAGGATTGGGACTGGTATCAGACGTGATGGTCTTTGGTATTTGGACAGGGAGACAGCAATGATTGCTGCTGCTGTTAGCGGAGGGCCAGAGGCAGAAGCGATGCTTTAACATTGCTGGTTAGGGCATTTATCTTTTGAGAGTTTAAATAAATCAGAACATGAGTTAATGAAGAAAGTTGATAGAAAAGAGTTATTTTGTAATGCATGTGAACTTGGAAAACATACTCGTTCTACTTATAGAATGATTGGTCTTTGAAGTTGTGAACCATTTGCACTTGTTCATTCTGATGATTGGGGACCATGTCCTACTACCTCTATCAGTGGTTTTAGATGGTTTGTTACTTTCATTGATTGTTATTCACGTATGACCTGGATATACATGATGAAGCAGAAATCAGAGGTTTACAAATGTTTTCAAGATTTCTCGGCTTATGTGAAGACACAGTTTGGAGTGCAGGTGAAGATTCTTCGAACAGATAATGGGACTGAGTATGTCAATAAGGAGTTTGCAGCTTTCATCTCTAATCAGGGAATTATTCATCAAACCACCTACCCAGACACCCCTGCTCAGAATGGGGTGGCTGTGCGTAAGAACAGGCATCTACTGGAAGTGGCACACTCATTGATGTTGACAATGAATGTGCCTAAGTTTTTATGGAGTGGGGTTATGACAGCAGCTTATTTGATCAACAGGATGTCATCAAGAGTATTAGAGATGAAGACACCATGTGAGATGCTTTTGGGCTCGAAAGTTTTTGTTGTTCCACCAAGAGTGTTTGGATGCACATGTTATGTGAGAGATCACAGGTTGATGGTGAGTAAACTGGATCCGCGATCAGTTAAATGTATCTTTGTTGGCTACTCATCAAGTCAAAAAGGATACAAGTGTTGGTGTCCCACTTAAAGAAGGTTGTTTGTTAGTATGGATGTGATTTTTCGGGAGTTTGAACCTTTTTATGGGGAGAAGACGGAGTTGAGTTCCTTGTTTGGAGATGGCTCTACTGATGCTAGTAGAGAGGGGGAGAATGAGAATGATATTGTGGTCGGGATGATTCCATGTCCTCTTGAGTCACCGAGTAGTGATGGTACATCGCCGAGTAGTGGTGGTGACTTAGGAGTTGGTAGTCAAAGTCAGGGGGAGCTGAGAGTATACACGAGGAGACAGAAACAGCAGCATGAGCCGCCTCCTATGCCTGTGTCAGTACCCACAAATGTTGATGACCCAAGTCCCTCCTCTCCAGTGCCTTCCTCTTCCTCTCCAGTGCCTTGCTCTTCTCCTCCACCTGAGTCGATAGGTAACGATTCCTTCCCTGATACCTCTGATACTCCTGTCTTGCCCCGTAGAACCTCTAGAGTCAATGCTGGAAAACCTCCAACTAAGTTTGGTAATTGGGATACTGATATTACGAATTACATTTCATATGCATCCATTCCACCTGCATATAAGTCATTCATTGCATCGTTGCATTCAGTGTCTGTACCTAACAACTGGCAGGTAGCTAAGCAAGATCCTAGGTGGTTGAATGTCATGCACGAGGAACTCCAGGCCTTGAAGAAGAATAACACATGGGAGTTGGTACCTTTGCCAGCTGGGAAGCGTGTTGTTGGATGTAAGTGGGTGTATACGCTTAAGCAAACTCCAGAGGGCAAGATCGACAGATACAAGGTCAGATTGGTTGCTAAAGGCTACAGCCAAACATACGACATTGACTATGACAAGACATTTGCTCCATTAGCAAAGATGAGTACTGTTAGAGTGTTGGTGTCATGTGCTGCCAATTTTAATTGGTCACTACATCAGCTAGATGTCAAGAATGCCTTTTTGCATGGAGATCTTCAAGAGCAGGTATATATGGAGATTCCACCAGGCTTCACTACTTCTCAAGTAGCTGGGAAGGTGTGCAAGTTGAAGAAGTCTTTGTATGGGTTAAAACAGTCTCCGAGGGCATGGTTTGATAGATTCAGGTTGGCAGTTTGTAGTATGGGGTACAAGCAGTGCAATGGTGATCATATTGTGTTTTACAGGCACTCCAAAACTCGTATCACTATCCTGACGGTCTATGTTGATGATATTGTAATCACTGGAGATGACGCTGAGGAAATCCTACTGTTGAAGAAGAAATTAGGAGAGGAATTTGAAGTTAAAGATCTGGGGCAGTTGAAGTACTTTCTCGGAATTAAAATTGCAAGGTCGCGAAAGGGTATAGTGCTTTCTCAGCGGAAGTATGCTCTGAATCTTCTCTCAGAGACAGGGATGTTGGGGTGCAGAGTTGCATCTACTCCTATTGAGCAGAATCATAAGATGATTGCCGAGGGTGGGGACCCTGTGAGTAAAGAGCAATATCAAAGATTGGTTGGACGACTTATATATCTATGCCATACGAGACCTGATATTACTCATGCAGTGAGTGTGGTGAGTAGATATATGCATGATCCCAGAGAGCAGCATATGAAGGCAGTTCACAGAATTCTTAGATATATTAAAGGAAGCACAGGAAAGGGGTTATGGTTCAGGAGTTTTGGACATCTGAGAATTAAAGGCTATTGTGATGCTGATTGGGCGGGTTGTATGGATGATCGTAGATCCACTACAGGCTACTGTGTATTTGTTAGAGGCAATCTCGTATCTTGGCGTAGCAAGAAGCAAGATGTGGTGGCTAGGTCTACAGCTGAGGCCGAGTACAGAGCTATGGCAGTTAGTCTGTGCGAGTTGATGTGGGTAAAAAACATATTATCTGAGCTGCGCTTGTTTAGAAGAGACTCCTTACAACTTTGGTGTGACAACAAATCGGCGATTAATATTGCAAACAATCCAGTTCAGCATGATCGCACCAAACATGTGGAGATTGATCGGTTCTTTATCAAGGAGCAACTGAATAGAGGAGTTCCGACTTTGATCTATGTGAAATCAGAAGAGCAGTTAGCTGATTGTTTAACAAAAGGATTAGGTTCTAAAGAGTATGATATCTTTTGTAACAAGATGGGGATGATTGATATCTATCGCCCATCTTGAGGGGGAGTGTTGAGTTATTTAGATACTAAGTGAATTAGTCAATGTTGTAAGGACCTAGTTATAAGAATGCATGAATATAAAAGAGGGGTCTCTCAATGAGAGAAACTAACCCTAATCTTTCTACATAATATACCTTCTTTGGATAAAGAACAAGTGATAAAAGATAAGTTAACATCTTAAGAACTTGGTAGATATTTACTAGTTATAATGTACAAGAGTGTATTCTACTTCTTGAATAGATAAATAAATAAATAAATAGCTGAAAAGATGAGTTATCATCTTACAGAAACTTAGGAAATCCATTAATGGAAGGCACATACATGATGATATTTAGTAATAGTTTTAATAGTATATGTGAGGTATATTTATTCAATGAGACTTTTCGAGCGAGAGGCATACATACTTCTGCAAGTTATGAGGTCTCATAATATTCCCTATCTAAGTTACAGCACAAGATGTTGATGTTTTATTTTTCTCTTTCACTTATTCTGGTTCACATATTGCACATAACTGTAAAACAGATTATTTCCCACCCCCGACCCCCCCCCCCCCCCCACCCAAAAAAGAAAAAAGAAAAAAAGAAAAGAAAAAAAAGAAAGCAACCAAAAAATTCTTATCAGCTGCTTTCTTGATTAGTAGTTATATATGGTGTTTCTTCCTTGTGCCGGCTATTGGACACCACATCTTAACGCCCTTTCTTTTAACTTTTAAATGGATAGAAACAATCACAATTTTCCTGGGAGAAGCCCATCAAGTAGTTTTACCTTTTAGTTTCAATGGCATTTTTCTTACAATATTTGTTTCATATAATTCAGCTATTTGAGATTTAAAGAATTTCAGGAATTAGGTCATCAATCAAGTCTGATACGCAAAGTAGCTGAAAAGGTTTTTTCTGGTATGGGTGCCTCTATAAGTTACAAGATCGGCACTATGATTGAAATCCCTAGGGCAGCCCTAGTAGCAGATGAGGTGTGAAACAAAATAAAATCAAATTTCAATTTGATTTAATTGGCTTCTCACTTGTCTCTTTGCTGATGTTTTTTTGCCATGTTGGATTAGTTCTCTTCTGCATTATTTTGATTTGGATGCATTAATACCGTTGAATGCTTTTTATTTTTGCAGATTGCCGAGCAAGCAGAGTTCTTCTCCTTTGGGACAAATGATCTAACCCAGATGACTTTCGGTTACAGTAGAGATGATGTTGGCAAGTTTCTTCCGATTTACTTATCTAAAGGTTTACTCCAAAGCGATCCTTTCGAGGTAAAAATCTAGTTCTAGCATTAGCAACACCGTAAGTAGGCCATAAAGAATTAGTGAGTTTCACTTGATGCGTGTTATCTCTAAATTTGATGAAATTACTATGACTTCAATGAACATTATAAATATTAAAATAAACTAAAGAATGTCGCTGCCTCACTGGCATACTTTGTTTAGCCAAAAATCTGGCTTTCACATGCTAATAAATATGATATAATATTTCAAAATAAAAAAGGAAAATGTCTCACAGTAGAAACTGCCTTCATCATTTTCATATGTTGTTTCTTGCGCTCTATTAATAGAGCTGTTGAATTAAGTGATCAAAGGACGTGCAAATATAGTTGATTAAGCAGATGGATACATTGTTATACTATCTTTAATTATGCTAAATCAGCTATCCCTAGTTATGCTTGGCTGATGGTGCATCAACATTTCATTTGTTTTACAAACAATTCTCTTTAATCATGCGTCTCTTCTCGTTTTATGGAATTTTCAGGTTCTGGACCAGAAAGGAGTTGGCCAGCTCATTAAGATTGCCACAGAAAGAGGCAAGAGAGCTCGGCCGGACTTAAAGGTTTGTATATGCTAAGTACGTTTTTGTTGTTTGTATAAGATACGCTCATAGGTGCAACACAAACTTACGAGAATCTGATGCTGGATTCGCGAAAACAGGTTGGGATATGTGGTGAACACGGAGGGGAGCCTTCTTCCGTTGCTTTCTTCGCTGAGGCTGGATTAGATTATGTCTCGTGTTCGCCCTTCAGGTTATTTCTCTAGTCTCATTTTGGTGGAGTATTTTTTCCTTCAAAATTTTGCGATGAATGCGTGATGCTGAACATGAACAAAGTAGCAGCGTATTGAAAAGCTTGACATAAACTCTGCAGTCTTTTATTTAGTTTTATCGTCTGCCCAGTCTCTGCGATTCTTATCTTTTTTTTGCTGCAGGGTTCCCATTGCTAGGCTCGCAGCAGCTCAAGTTGCAGTCTGAAAGGGTTTTCATGAACGTGAAGACAGAATAAAGTCAGTCTATGGCGACTTTTGAAAAAAAAAAAACAACAAACGGTGCGTGAATGAAATAAACTTATCATGATTCTTATGCTCACTCTCTTGCTCCATGTTATAGAAACTCTCTTGGTATCAAGAGTACTGTCCATAATACTTTGATGCATGTACAAAATGGTGTGTTTGTACGAGTTGCTGCATCCAACTCAGTTTAACGCATGTATCAATAAAGCTGTTCGTTAGTTTCTCTCTAAAGATATCTTTTTTTTTAATCTCAGATTTTCTATCTGAATATTATGTTGTTATGATAAATTCTGTGGTGAACAGGAACCCCAGTGCTCGTGTGGTAAGTAGATTAGTGACATTTTTGTTGCTGTTTGTTTTTTAAAATATCAT